TGGCCAGCACGTACACCCAAGTCATGCGGGTGTAGACGTCGACAATGGTGAGAAAATACTCAGCTCCAGCAGCTCCAAGCTTCAGGGGGCCCACCACGTCCATCACCACCTCATCAAGCGGTGCCTTTGCCGTTGCCTCCGAACTAGGGAACGGAAACCGGGTGAACTTGGCTTGAATGCACGTCGGGCAGCCAAGCACCTCATCGGGCTCCCCCTTCACACGTATGCCAGCAACCATCTCATTCTTCACTAGCTGCTGCAAGATGGGCAGGGCCACATGCCCCATTCGCCGATGCAAGGTGAGCCAATCACACTCCCCCGTAGCCGAAGTTGGATTGGAGAATGCCGCGCTCGCAATATCGCTCCGTAGTCCTCCTCCGCTGCTGCCTCTGGGTTCTCCTCACCCTTTTGCTGCTCCTTGGTTGCTGCACCACTCTCCTTAGGTTCATTGAACTTGCTGGTCCCTCCAGGTTTGCTCTTCTTGAGCTCATTCTCCTTAGCGCGACCGTTCGCGCCATCGTCGCTACCGACCGCTCCATCCTTGGTGCTGATGCTTGCTGCCACTTGCCTCTCCTTAGGCATAGGGACCACTGGGATCTGCCACATCTCGTTGTAGACATCCCTGTCCTCATGAAGGTCCCAAAGAATTCGATCGCCAAGCCTTGCGGTGTAGGTCTTGGCTCCCTTCGAGTTCGTGTCCATGCCGGCCTTTGCCAACCGCCGCACGGAAATCAGGTTTGCAGCAAGGCTGGGCACCCAAAGCACGTTCTTGAGGCCCACCATCCTGTGGACCGGTTGGACCAACCGGCCTGTTGGTCCTGTGGACCGGTTGGACCAACCGGCCTGTTGGTCCTGTGGACCGGTTTGACCAACCGGCCTGTTGGTCCTGTGGACCGGTTGGACCAACCGGCCAGTTGGTCCTGTGGACCGGTTGGACCAACCGGCCTGTTGGTCCTGTGGACCGGTTTGACCAACCGGCCAGTTGGTCATGTGGACCGGTTGGACCAACCGGCCTGTTGGTCCTGTGGACCGGTTGGACCAACCGGCCTGTTGGTCCTGTGGACCGGTTGGACCAACCTGCCTGTTGGTCCTATGGACCGGTTGGACCAACCGGCCAGTTGGTCCTGTGGACCGGTTGGACCAACCGGCCTGTTGGTCCTGTGGACCGGTTTGACCAACCGGCCAGTTGGTCCTGTGGACCGGCTGGACCAACCGGCCAGTTGGTCCTGTGGACCGGTTGGTCCAACCGGCCTGTTGGTCCTGTGGACCGGTTGGACCAACCGGCCAGTTGGTCATGTGGACCGGTTGGTCCAACCGGCCTGTTGGTCCTGTGGACCGGTTTGACCAACCGGCCAGTTGGTCCTGTGGACCGGTTGGACCAACCGGCCAGTTGGTCCTGTGGACCGGTTGGTCCAACCGGCCAGTTGGTCCTGTGGACCGGTTGGACCAACCGGCCAGTTGGTCATGTGGACCGGTTGGACCAACCGGCCAGTTGGTCCTGTGGACCGGTCGGACCAACCGGCCTGTTGGTCATGTGGACCGGTTGGTCCAACCGGCCAGTTGGTCATGTGGACCGGTTGGACCAACCGGCCAGTTGGTCCTGTGGACCGGTTGGTCCAACCGGCCAGTTGGTCCTGTGGACCGGTTGGACCAACCGGCCAGTTGGTCCTGTGGACCGGTTGGACCAACCGGCCAGTTGGTCCTGTGGACCGGTTTGACCAACCGGCCAGTTGGTCATGTGGACCGGTTGGACCAACCGGCCAGTTGGTCCTGTGGACCGGTTGGACCAACCGGCCAGTTGGTCCTGTGGACCGGTTGGTCCAACCGGCCAGTTGGTCCTGTGGACCGGTTGGACCAACCGGCCTGTTGGTCATGTGGACCGGTTGGTCCAACCGGCCAGTTGGTCCTGTGGACCGGTTGGTCCAACCGGCCAGTTGGTCCTGTGGACCGGTTGGTCCAACCGGCCAGTTGGTCCTGTGGACCGGTTGGACCAACCGGCCAGTTGGTCATGTGGACCGGTTGGACCAACCGGCCAGTTGGTCCTGTGGACCGGTTGGACCAACCGGCCTGTTGGTCCTGTGGACCGGTTGGACCAACCGGCCAGTTGGTCCTGTGGACCGGTTTGACCAACCGGCCAGTTGGTCATGTGGACCGGTTGGACCAACCGGCCAGTTGGTCCTGTGGACCGGTTGGACCAACCGGCCAGTTGGTCATGTGGACCGGTTGGACCAACCGGCCAGTTGGTCCTGTGGACCGGTTGGACCAACCGGCCTGCTGGTCATGTGGACCGGTTGGTCCAACCGGCCAGTTGGTCCTGTGGACCGGTTGGTCCAACCGGCCAGTTGGTCCTGTGGACCGGTTGGACCAACCGGCCAGTTGGTCATGTGGACCGGTTGGACCAACCGGCCAGTTGGTCCTGTGGACCGGTTGGACCAACCGGCCTGTTGGTCCTGTGGACCGGTTGGACCAACCGGCCAGTTGGTCCTGTGGACCGGTTTGACCAACCGGCCAGTTGGTCATGTGGACCGGTTGGACCAACCGGCCAGTTGGTCCTGTGGACGGGTTGGACCAACCGGCCAGTTGGTCATGTGGACCGGTTGGACCAACCGGCCAGTTGGTCCTGTGGACCGGTTGGACCAACCGGCCTGTTGGTCATGTGGACCGGTTGGTCCAACCGGCCAGTTGGTCCTGTGGACCGGTTGGTCCAACCGGCCAGTTGGTCCTGTGGACCGGTTGGTCCAACCGGCCAGTTGGTCCTGTGGACCGGTTGGACCAACCGGCCAGTTGGTCCTGTGGACCGGTTGGACCAACCGGCCTGTTGGTCCTGTGGACCGGTTGGACCAACCGGCCTGTTGGTCCTGTGGACCGGTTTGACCAACCGGCCTGTTGGTCATGTGGACCGGTTGGTCCAACCGGCCAAGTGGTCCTGTGGACCGATTGGTCCAACCGGCCAGTTGGTCCTGTGGACCGGTTGGACCAACCGGCCAGTTGGTCCTGTGGACCGGTTGGTCCAACCGGCCTGTTGGTCCTGTGGACCGGTTGGACCAACCGGCCAGTTTGTCCTGTGGACCGGTTTGACCAACCGGCCAGTTGGTCATGTGGACCGGTTGGACCAACCGGCCAGTTGGTCCTGTGGACCGGTTGGACCAACCGGCCAGTTGGTCATGTGGACCGGTTGGACCAACCGGCCAGTTGGTCCTGTGGACCGGTTGGACCAACCGGCCTGTTGGTCATGTGGACCGGTTGGTCCAACCGGCCAGTTGGTCCTGTGGACCGGTTGGTCCAACCGGCCAGTTGGTCCTGTGGACCGGTTGGTCCAACCGGCCAGTTGGTCCTGTGGACCGGTTGGACCAACCGGCCAGTTGGTCCTGTGGACCGGTTGGACCAACCGGCCTGTTGGTCCTGTGGACCGGTTGGACCAACCGGCCAGTTGGTCCTGTGGACCGGTTTGACCAACCGGCCAGTTGGTCATGTGGACCGGTTGGTCCAACCGGCCAGTTGGTCCTGTGGACCGGTTGGTCCAACCGGCCAGTTGGTCCTGTGGACCGGTTGGACCAACCGGCCAGTTGGTCCTGTGGACCGGTTGGTCCAACCGGCCAGTTGGTCCTGTGGACCGGTTGGACCAACCGGCCTGTTGGTCCTGTGGACCGGTTTGACCAACCGGCCAGTTGGTCCTGTGGACCGGTTGGACCAACCGGCCAGTTGGTCCTGTGGACCGGTTGGTCCAACCGGCCTGTTGGTCCTGTGGACCGGTTGGACCAACCGGCCAGTTGGTCCTGTGGACCGGTTGGACCAACCGGCCAGTTGGTCATGTGGACCGGTTGGACCAACCGGCCAGTTGGTCCTGTGGACCGGTTGGACCAACCGGCCAGTTGGTCCTGTGGACCGGTTGGACCAACCGGCCAGTTGGTCCTGTGGACCGGTTGGACCAACCGGCCAGTTGGTCCTGTGGACCGGTTGGACCAACCGGCCTGTTGGTCCTGTGGACCGGTTGGACCAACCGGCCTGTTGGTCCTGTGGACCGGTTTGACCAACCGGCCTGTTGGTCCTGTGGACCGGTTGGACCAACCGGCCAGTTGGTCCTGTGGACCGGTTGGACCAACCGGCCAGTTGGTCCTGTGGACCGGTTGGACCAACCGGCCTGTTGGTCCTGTGGACCGGTTGGACCAACCGGCCTGTTGGTCCTGTGGACCGGTTTTACCAACCGGCCAGTTGGTCCTGTGGACCGGTTGGACCAACCGGCCAGTTGGTCCTGTGGAGCGGTTGGTCCAACCGGCCTGTTGGTCCTGTGGACCGGTTGGACCAACCGGCCAGTTGGTCCTGTGGACCGGTTGGACCAACCGGCCAGTTGGTCATGTGGACCGGTTGGACCAACCGGCCAGTTGGTCCTGTGGACCGGTTGGACCAACCGGCCAGTTGGTCCTGTGGACCGGTTGGACCAACCGGCCTGTTGGTCCTGTGGACCGGTTGGACCAACCGGCCTGTTGGTCCTGTGGACCGGTTTGACCAACCGGCCTGTTGGTCCTGTGGACGGGTTGGACCAACCGGCCAGTTGGTCCTGTGGACCGGTTGGACCAACCGGCCTGTTGGTCCTGTGGACCGGTTTGACCAACCGGCCAGTTGGTCATGTGGACCGGTTGGACCAACCGGCCTGTTGGTCCTGTGGACCGGTTGGACCAACCGGCTTGTTGGTCCTGTGGACCGGTTGGACCAACCGGCCTGTTGGTCCTGTGGACCGGTTGGACCAACCGGCCAGTTGGTCCTGTGGACCGGTTGGTCCAACCGGCCAGTTGGTCCTGTGGACCGGTTGGTCCAACCGGCCAGTTGGTCCTGTGGACCGGTTGGACCAACCGGCCAGTTGGTCATGTGGACCGGTTGGACCAACCGGCCAGTTGGTCCTGTGGACCGGTTGGACCAACCGGCCAGTTGGTCCTGTGGACCGGTTGGACCAACCGGCCAGTTGGTCCTGTGGACCGGTTTGACCAACCGGCCAGTTGGTCATGTGGACCGGTTGGACCAACCGGCCAGTTGGTCCTGTGGACCGGTTGGACCAACCGGCCAGTTGGTCATGTGGACCGGTTGGACCAACCGGCCAGTTGGTCCTGTGGACCGGTTGGACCAACCGGCCTGTTGGTCATGTGGACCGGTTGGTCCAACCGGCCAGTTGGTCCTGTGGACCGGTTGGTCCAACCGGCCAGTTGGTCCTGTGGACCGGTTGGTCCAACCGGCCAGTTGGTCCTGTGGACCGGTTGGACCAACCGGCCAGTTGGTCCTGTGGACCGGTTGGACCAACCGGCCTGTTGGTCCTGTGGACCGGTTGGACCAACCGGCCTGTTGGTCCTGTGGACCGGTTTGACCAACCGGCCTGTTGGTCATGTGGACCGGTTGGTCCAACCGGCCAGTTGGTCCTGTGGACCGGTTGGTCCAACCGGCCAGTTGGTCCTGTGGACCGGTTGGACCAACCGGCCAGTTGGTTCTGTGGACCGGTTGGTCCAACCGGCCTGTTGGTCCTGTGGACCGGTTGGACCAACCGGCCTGTTGGTCCTGTGGACCGGTTTGACCAACCGGCCAGTTGGTCCTGTGGACCGGTTGGACCAACCGGCCAGTTGGTCCTGTGGACCGGTTGGTCCAACCGGCCTGTTGGTCCTGTGGACCGGTTGGACCAACCGGCCAGTTGGTCCTGTGGACCGGTTGGACCAACCGGCCAGTTGGTCATGTGGACCGGTTGGACCAACCGGCCAGTTGGTCCTGTGGACCGGTTGGACCAACCGGCCAGTTGGTCCTGTGGACCGGTTGGACCAACCGGCCTGTTGGTCCTGTGGACCGGTTGGACCAACCGGCCTGTTGGTCCTGTGGACCGGTTTGACCAACCGGCCTGTTGGTCCTGTGGACCGGTTGGACCAACCGGCCAGTTGGTCCTGTGGACCGGTTGGACCAACCGGCCTGTTGGTCCTGTGGACCGGTTTGACCAACCGGCCAGTTGGTCATGTGGACCGGTTGGACCAACCGGCCTGTTGGTCCTGTGGACCGGTTGGACCAACCGGCCTGTTGGTCCTGTGGACCGGTTGGACCAACCGGCCTGTTGGTCCTGTGGACCGGTTGGACCAACCGGCCAGTTGGTCCTGTGGACCGGTTGGACCAACCGGCCTGTTGGTCCTGTGGACCGGTTTGACCAACCGGCCAGTTGGTCCTGTGGACCGGTTGGACCAACCGGCCAGTTGGTCCTGGGGACCGGTTGGTCCAACCGGCCTGTTGGTCCTGTGGACCGGTTGGACCGACCGGCCAGTTGGTCCTGTGGACCGGTTGGTCCAACCGGCCTGTTGGTCCTGTGGACCGGTTTGACCAACCGGCCAGTTGGTCCTGTGGACCGGTTGGACCAACCGGCCAGTTGGTCCTGTGGACCGGTTGGTCCAACCGGCCAATTGGTCCTGTGGACCGGTTGGACCAACCGGCCAGTTGGTCATGTGGACCGGTTGGACCAACCGGCCAGTTGGTCCTGTGGACCGGTTGGACCAACCGGCCTGTTGGTCTTGTGGACCGGTTGGTCCAACCGGCCAGTTGGTCATGTGGACCGATTGGACCAACCGGCCAGTTGGTCCTGTGGACCGGTTGGTCCAACCGGCCAGTTGGTCCTGTGGACCGGTTGGACCAACCGGCCAGTTGGTCCTGTGGACCGGTTGGTCCAACCGGCCTGTTGGTCCTGTGGACCGGTTGGACCAACCGGCCTGTTGGTCCTGTGGACCGGTTGGACCAACCGGCCAGTTGGTCCTGTGGACCGGTTGGTCCAACCGGCCAGTTGGTCCTGTGGACCGGTTGGACCAACCGGCCAGTTGGTCATGTGGACCGGTTGGACCAACCGGCCAGTTGGTCCTGTGGACCGGTTGGACCAACCGGCCAGTTGGTCCTGTGGACCGGTTGGTCCAACCGGCCAGTTGGTCCTGTGGACCGGTTGGACCAACCGACCTGTTGGTCATGTGGACCGGTTGGTCCAACCGGCCAGTTGGTCCTGTGGACCGGTTGGTCCAACCGGCCAGTTGGTCCTGTGGACCGGTTGGTCCAACCGGCCAGTTGGTCCTGTGGACCGGTTGGACCAACCGGCCAGTTGGTCATGTGGACCGGTTGGACCAACCGGCCAGTTGGTCCTGTGGACCGGTTGGACCAACCGGCCAGTTGGTCATGTGGACCGGTTGGACCAACCGGCCAGTTGGTCCTGTGGACCGGTTGGACCAACCGGCCTGTTGGTCATGTGGACCGGTTGGTCCAACCGGCCTGTTGGTCCTGTGGACCGGTTGGTCCAACCGGCCAGTTGGTCCTGTGGACCGGTTGGACCAACCGGCCAGTTGGTCCTGTGGACCGGTTGGTCCAACCGGCCTGTTGGTCCTGTGGACCGGTTGGACCAACCGGCCTGTTGGTCCTGTGGACCGGTTTGACCAACCGGCCAGTTGGTCCTGTGGACCGGTTGGACCAACCGGCCAGTTGGTCCTGTGGACCGGTTGGTCCAACCGGCCTGTTGGTCCTGTGGACCGGTTGGACCAACCGGCCAGTTGGTCATGTGGACCGGTTGGACCAACCGGCCAGTTGGTCATGTGGACCGGTTGGACCAACCGGCCTGTTGGTCCTGTGGACCGGTTGGTCCAACCGGCCAGTTGGTCCTGTGGACCGGTTGGACCAACCGGCCAGTTGGTCATGTGGACCGGTTGGACCAACCGGCCTGTTGGTCCTGTGGACCGGTTGGACCAACCGGCCAGTTGGTCCTGTGGACCGGTTGGTCCAACCGGCCTGTTGGTCCTGTGGACCGGTTTGACCAACCGGCCAGTTGGTCCTGTGGACCGGTTGGACCAACCGGCCAGTTGGTCCTGTGGACCGGTTGGTCCAACCGGCCTGTTGGTCCTGTGGACCGGTTGGACCAACCGGCAAGTTGGTCCTGTGGACCGGTTGGACCAACCGGCCTGTTGGTCCTGTGGACCGGTTGGACCAACCGGCCTGTTGGTCCTGTGGACCGGTTGGACCAACCGGCCAGTTGGTCCTGTGGACCGGTTTGACCAACCGGCCAGTTGGTCATGTGGACCGGTTGGACCAACCGGCCAGTTGGTCCTGTGGACCGGTTGGACCAACCGGCCAGTTGGTCATGTGGACCGGTTGGACCAACCGGCCAGTTGGTCCTGTGGACCGGTTGGACCAACCGGCCTGTTGGTCATGTGGACCGGTTGGTCCAACCGGCCAGTTGGTCCTGTGGACCGGTTGGTCCAACCGGCCAGTTGGTCCTGTGGACCGGTTGGACCAACCGGCCAGTTGGTCCTGTGGACCGGTTGGTCCAACCGGCCTGTTGGTCCTGTGGACCGGTTGGACCAACCGGCCTGTTGGTCCTGTGGACCGGTTTGACCAACCGGCCAGTTGGTCCTGTGGACCGGTTGGACCAACCGGCCAGTTGGTCCTGTGGACCGGTTGGTCCAACCGGCCTGTTGGTCCTGTGGACCGGTTGGACCAACCGGCCAGTTGGTCCTGTGGACCGGTTGGACCAACCGGCCAGTTGGTCATGCGGACCGGTTGGACCAACCGGCTTGTTGGTCATGTGGACCGGTTGGACCAACCGGCCTGTTGGTCCTGTGGACCGGTTGGTCCAACCGGCCAGTTGGTCCTGTGGACCGGTTGGACCAACTGGCCAGTTGGTCATGTGGACCGGTTGGACCAACCGTCCTGTTGGTCCTGTGGACCAGTTGGACCAACCGGCCTGTTGGTCCTGTGGACCGGTTGGACCAACCGGCCTGTTGGTCCTGTGGACCGGTTGGACCAACCGGCCTGTTGGTCCTGTGGACCGGTTGGACCAACCGGCCAGTTGGTCCTGTGGACCGGTTGGTCCAACCGGCCTGTTGGTCCTGTGGACCGGTTGGACCAACCGGCCAGTTGGTCCTGTGGACCGGTTGGACCAACCGGCTTGTTGGTCATGTGGACCGGTTGGACCAACCGGCCTGTTGGTCCTGAGGACCGGTTGGACCAACCGGCCAGTTGGTCCTGTGGACCGGTTAGACCAACCGGCCAGTTGGTCATGTGGACCGGTAGGACCAACCGGCCTGTTGGTCCTGTGGACCGGTTGGACCAACCGGCCTGTTGGTCCTGTGGACCGGTTGGACCAACCGGCCTGTTGGTCCTGTGGACCGGTTGGACCAACCGGCCTGTTGGTCCTGTGGACCGGTTGGACCAACCGGCCAGTTGGTCCTGTGGACCGGTTGGTCCAACCGGCCTGTTGGTCCTGTGGACCGGTTGGACCAACCGGCCAGTTGGTCCTGTGGACCGGTTGGACCAACCGGCCAGTTGGTCATGTGGACCGGTTGGACCAACCGGCCAGTTGGTCCTGTGGACCGGTTGGACCAACCGGCCAGTTGGTCCTGTGGACCGGTTGGACCAACCGGCCTGTTGGTCCTGTGGACCGGTTGGACCAACCGGCCTGTTGGTCCTGTGGACCGGTTTGACCAACCGGCCTGTTGGTCCTGTGGACCGGTTGGACCAACCGGCCAGTTGGTCCTGTGGACCGGTTGGACCAACCGGCCTGTTGGTCCTGTGGACCGGTTTGACCAACCGGCCAGTTGGTCATGTGGACCGGTTGGACCAACCGGCCTGTTGGTCCTGTGGACCGGTTGGACCAACCGGCCTGTTGGTCCTGTGGACCGGTTGGACCAACCGGCCTGTTGGTCCTGTGGACCGGTTGGACCAACCGGCCAGTTGGTCCTGTGGACCGGTTGGACAAACCGGCCTGTTGGTCCTGTGGACCGGTTTGACCAACCGGCCAGTTGGTCCTGTGGACCGGTTGGACCAACCGGCCAGTTGGTCCTGGGGACCGGTTGGTCCAACCGGCCTGTTGGTCCTGTGGACCGGTTGGACCGACCGGCCAGTTGGTCCTGTGGACCGGTTGGTCCAACCGGCCTGTTGGTCCTGTGGACCGGTTTGACCAACCGGCCAGTTGGTCCTGTGGACCGGTTGGACCAACCGGCCAGTTGGTCCTGTGGACCGGTTGGTCCAACCGGCCAATTGGTCCTGTGGACCGGTTGGACCAACCGGCCAGTTGGTCATGTGGACCGGTTGGACCAACCGGCCAGTTGGTCCTGTGGACCGGTTGGACCAACCGGCCTGTTGGTCTTGTGGACCGGTTGGTCCAACCGGCCAGTTGGTCATGTGGACCGGTTGGACCAACCGGCCAGTTGGTCCTGTGGACCGGTTGGTCCAACCGGCCAGTTGGTCCTGTGGACCGGTTGGACCAACCGGCCAGTTGGTCCTGTGGACCGGTTGGTCCAACCGGCCTGTTGGTCCTGTGGACCGGTTGGACCAACCGGCCTGTTGGTCCTGTGGACCGGTTGGACCAACCGGCCAGTTGGTCCTGTGGACCGGTTGGTCCAATCGGCCAGTTGGTCCTGTGGACCGGTTGGACCAACCGGCCAGTTGGTCATGTGGACCGGTTGGACCAACCGGCCAGTTGGTCCTGTGGACCGGTTGGACCAACCGGCCAGTTGGTCCTGTGGACCGGTTGGTCCAACCGGCCAGTTGGTCCTGTGGACCGGTTGGACCAACCGACCTGTTGGTCATGTGGACCGGTTGGTCCAACCGGCCAGTTGGTCCTGTGGACCGGTTGGTCCAACCGGCCAGTTGGTCCTGTGGACCGGTTGGTCCAACCGGCCAGTTGGTCCTGTGGACCGGTTGGACCAACCGGCCAGTTGGTCATGTGGACCGGTTGGACCAACCGGCCAGTTGGTCCTGTGGACCGGTTGGACCAACCGGCCAGTTGGTCATGTGGACCGGTTGGACCAACCGGCCAGTTGGTCCTGTGGACCGGTTGGACCAACCGGCCTGTTGGTCATGTGGACCGGTTGGTCCAACCGGCCTGTTGGTCCTGTGGACCGGTTGGTCCAACCGGCCAGTTGGTCCTGTGGACCGGTTGGACCAACCGGCCAGTTGGTCCTGTGGACCGGTTGGTCCAACCGGCCTGTTGGTCCTGTGGACCGGTTGGACCAACCGGCCTGTTGGTCCTGTGGACCGGTTTGACCAACCGGCCAGTTGGTCCTGTGGACCGGTTGGACCAACCGGCCAGTTGGTCCTGTGGACCGGTTGGTCCAACCGGCCTGTTGGTCCTGTGGACCGGTTGGACCAACCGGCCAGTTGGTCATGTGGACCGGTTGGACCAACCGGCCAGTTGGTCATGTGGACCGGTTGGACCAACCGGCCTGTTGGTCCTGTGGACCGGTTGGTCCAACCGGCCAGTTGGTCCTGTGGACCGGTTGGACCAACCGGCCAGTTGGTCATGTGGACCGTTTGGACCAACCGGCCTGTTGGTCCTGTGGACCGGTTGGACCAACCGGCCAGTTGGTCCTGTGGACCGGTTGGTCCAACCGGCCTGTTGGTCCTGTGGACCGGTTTGACCAACCGGCCAGTTGGTCCTGTGGACCGGTTGGACCAACCGGCCAGTTGGTCCTGTGGACCGGTTGGTCCAACCGGCCTGTTGGTCCTGTGGACCGGTTGGACCAACCGGCCAGTTGGTCCTGTGGACCGGTTGGACCAACCGGCCTGTTGGTCCTGTGGACCGGTTGGACCAACCGGCCTGTTGGTCCTGTGGACCGGTTGGACCAACCGGCCAGTTGGTCCTGTGGACCGGTTTGACCAACCGGCCAGTTGGTCATGTGGACCGGTTGGACCAACCGGCCAGTTGGTCCTGTGGACCGGTTGGACCAACCGGCCAGTTGGTCATGTGGACCGGTTGGACCAACCGGCCAGTTGGTCCTGTGGACCGGTTGGACCAACCGGCCTGTTGGTCATGTGGACCGGTTGGTCCAACCGGCCAGTTGGTCCTGTGGACCGGTTGGTCCAACCGGCCAGTTGGTCCTGTGGACCGGTTGGACCAACCGGCCAGTTGGTCCTGTGGACCGGTTGGTCCAACCGGCCTGTTGGTCCTGTGGACCGGTTGGACCAACCGGCCAGTTGGTCCTGTGGACCGGTTGGACCAACCGGCCAGTTGGTCATGCGGACCGGTTGGACCAACCGGCTTGTTGGTCATGTGGACCGGTTGGACCAACCGGCCTGTTGGTCCTGTGGACCGGTTGGTCCAACCGGCCAGTTGGTCCTGTGGACCGGTTGGACCAACTGGCCAGTTGGTCATGTGGACCGGTTGGACCAACCGTCCTGTTGGTCCTGTGGACCAGTTGGACCAACCGGCCAGTTGGTCCTGTGGACCGGTTGGACCAACCGGCCTGTTGGTCCTGTGGACCGGTTGGACCAACCGGCCTGTTGGTCCTGTGGACCGGTTGGACCAACCGGCCAGTTGGTCCTGTGGACCGGTTGGTCCAACCGGCCCTGTTGGTCCTGTGGACCGGTTGGACCAACCGGCCAGTTGGTCCTGTGGACCGGTTGGACCAACCGGCTTGTTGGTCATGTGGACCGGTTGGACCAACCGGCCTGTTGGTCCTGTGGACCGGTTGGACCAACCGGCCAGTTGGTCCTGTGGACCGGTTAGACCAACCGGCCAGTTGGTCATGTGGACCGGTAGGACCAACCGGCCTGTTGGTCCTGTGGACCGGTTGGACCAACCGGCCTGTTGGTCCTGTGGACCGGTTGGACCAACCGGCCTGTTGGTCCTGTGGACCGGTTGGACCAACCGGCCTGTTGGTCCTGTGGACCGGTTGGACCAACCGGCCTGTTGGTCCTGTGGACCGGTTGGACCAACCGGCCAGTTGGTCCTGTGGACCGGTTGGACCCACCGGCCTGTTGGTCCTGTGGACCGGTTGGACCAACTGGCCTGTTGGTCCTGTGGACCGGTTGGACCAACCGGCCTGTTGGTCGTGTGGACCGGTTGGACCAACCGGCCTGTTGGTCCTGTGGACCGGTTGGACCAACCGGCCAGTTGGTCCTGTGGACCGGTTGGACCAACCGGCCTGTTGGTCCTGTGGACCGGTTGGACCAACCGGCCTGTTGGTCTTGTGGACCGGTTGGACCAACCGGCCTGTTGGTCCTGTGGACCGGTTGGACCAACCGGCCTGTTGGTCCTGTGGACCGGTTGGACCAACCGGCCTTTTGGTCCTGTGGACCGGTTGGACCAACCGGCCAGTTGGTCCTGTGGACCGGTTGGACCAACCGGCCAGTTGGTCCTGTGGACCGGTTGGTCCAACCGGCCTGTTGGTCCTGTGGACCGGTTGGACCAACCGGCCAGTTGGTCCTGTGGACCGGTTGGACCAACCGGCCTGTTGGTCCTGTGGACCGGTTGGACCAACCGGCCTGTTGGTCCTGTGGACCGGTTGGACCAACCGGCCTGTTGGTCCTGTGGACCGGTTGGACCAACCGGCCAGTTGGTCCTGTGGACCGGTTGGACAAACCGGCCTGTTGGTCCTGTGGACCGGTTGGACCAACCGGCCAGTTGGTCCTGTGGACCGGTTGGACCAACCGGCCTGTTGGTCCTGTGGACCGGTTTGACCAACCGGCCAGTTGGTCCTGTGGACCGGTTGGACCAACCGGCCAGTTGGTCCTGTGGACCGGTTTGACCAACCGGCCAGTTGGTCCTGTGGACCGGTTGGACCAACCGGCCAGTTGGTCATGTGGACCGGTTGGACCAACCGGCCAGTTGGTCCTGTGGACCGGTTGGACCAACCGGCCAGTTGGTCCTGTGGACCGGTTGGACTAACTGGCCAGTTGGTCCTGTGGACCGGTTGGACCAACCGGCCTGTTGGTCATGTGGACCGGTTGGTCCAACCGGCCAGTTGGTCCTGTGGACCGGTTGGTCCAACCGGCCAGTTGGTCCTGTGGACCGGTTGGACCAACCGGCCAGTTGGTCCTGTGGACCGGTTGGTCCAACCGGCCTGTTGGTCCTGTGGACCGGTTGGACCAACCGGCCAGTTGGTCCTGTGGACCGGTTGGTCCAACCGGCCTGTTGGTCCTGTGGACCGGTTTGACCAACCGGCCAGTTGGTCCTGTGGACCAGTTGGACCAACCGGCCAGTTGGTCCTGTGGACCGGTTGGTCCAACCGGCCAGTTGGTCCTGTGGACCGGTTGGACCAACCGGCCAGTTGGTCATGTGGACCGGTTGGACCAACCGGCCAGTTGGTCCTGTGGACCGGTTGGACCAACCGGCCAGTTGGTCCTGTGGACCGGTTGGACCAACCGGCCAGTTGGTCCTGTGGACCGGTTGGTCCAACCGGCCTGTTGGTCCTGTGGACCGGTTGGACCAACCGGCCAGTTGGTCCTGTGGACCGGTTTGACCAACCGGCCAGTTGGTCATGTGGACCGGTTGGACCAACCGGCCTGTTGGTCATGTGGACCGGTTGGTCCAACCGGCCAGTTGGTCCTGTGGACCGGTTAGTCCAACCGGCCAGTTGGTCCTGTGGACCGGTTGGTCCAACCGGCCAGTTGGTCCTGTGGACCGGTTGGACCAACCGGCCAGTTGGTCCTGTGGACCGGTTGGACCAACCGGCCTGTTGGTCCTGTGGACCGGTTGGACCAACCGGCCTGTTGGTCCTGTGGACCGGTTGGACCAACTGACCTGTTGGTCCTGTGGACCGGTTGGACCAACCGGCCAATTGGTCCTGTGGACCGGTTGGACCAACCGGCTTGTTGGTCATATGGACCGGTTGGACCAACCGGCCAGTTGGTCCTGTGGACCGGTTGGACCAACCGGCCAATTGGTCGTGTGGACCGGTTGGACCAACCGGCCTGTTGGTCCTGTGGACCGGTTGGACCAACCGGCCTGTTGGTCCTGTGGACCGGTTGGACCAACTGACCTGTTGGTCCTGTGGACCGGTTGGACCAACCGGCCAATTGGTCCTGTGGACCGGTTGGACCAACCGGCTTGTTGGTCATGTGGACCGGTTGGACCAACCGGCCTGTTGGTCCTGTGGACCGGTTGGACCAACCGGCCTGTTGGTCCTTTACACCGGTTGGACCAACCGGTCTGTTGGTCCTCTGGACCGGTTGGACCAACCGGCCTGTTGGTCCTGTGGACCGGTTGGACCAACCGGCCTGTTGGTCCTGTGGACCGGTTGGACCAACCGGCCTGTTGGTCCTGTGGACCGGTTGGACCAACTGGCCTGTTGGTCCTGTGGACCGGTTGGACCAACCGGCCTGTTGGTCCTGTGGACCGGTTGGACCAACCGGCCAGTTGGTCCTGTGGACCGGTTGGACCAACGGGCGTGTTGGTCCTGTGGACCCGTTGGACCAACCGGCCTGTTGGTCCTGTGGACCGGTTGGACCAACCGGCCTGTTGGTCCTGTGGACCCGTTGGACCAACCGGCCTGTTGGTCCTTTGGACCCGCTGGACCAACCGGCCTGTTGGTCCTTTGGACCCGTTGGACCAACCGGCCAGTTGGTCCTGTGGACCGGTTGGACCAACCGGTCTGTTGGTCCTGTGGACCGGTTGGACCAACCGGCCAGTTGGTCCTGTGGACCGGTTGGACCAACCGGCCAGTTGGTCCTGTGGACCGGTTGGACCAACCGGCCAGTTGGTCGTGTGGACCGGTTGGACCAACCGGCCTGTTGGTCCTGTGGACCGGTTGGACCAACGGACCTGTTGGTCCTGTGGACCGGTTGGACCAACCGGCCAATTGGTCCTGTGGACCGGTTGGACCAACCGGCTTGTTGGTCATGTGGACCGGTTGGACCAACCGGCCTGTTGGTCCTGTGGACCGGTTGGACCAACCGGCCAGTTGGTCCTTTACACCGGTTGGACCAACCGGTCTGTTGGTCCTATGGACCGGTTGGACCAACCGGCCAATTGGTCCTGTGGACCGGTTGGACAACCGGCCTGTTGGTCCTGTGGACCGGTTGGACCAACCGGCCTGTTGGTCCTATGGACCGGTTGGACCAACCGGCCTGTTGGTCCTGTGGACCGGTTGGACCAACCGGCCTGTTGGTCCTGTGGACCGGTTGGACCAACCGGCTTGTTGGTCCTGTGGAATGGTTGGACCAACCGGCCAGTTGGTCCTGTGGACCGGTTGGACCAACCGGCCAGTTGGTCCTGTGGACCGGTTGGACCAACCGGCCTGTTGTTCCTGTGGACCGGTTGGACCAACCGGCCAGTTGGTCCTGTGGACCGGTTGGACCAACCGGCCAGTTGGTCCTGTGGACCGGTTGGACCAACCGGCCAGTTGGTCCTGTGGACCGGTCGGACCAACCGGTCAGTTGGTCCTGTGGACCGGTTGGACCAACCGGCCTATTGGTCCTGTGGACCGGTTGGACCAACCGGCCTGTTGGTCCTATGGACCGGTTGGACCAACCGGCCTGTTGGTCCTGTGGACCGGTTGGACCAACCCGGCCTGTTGGTCCTGTGGACCGGTTGGACCAACCGGCTTGTTGGTCCTGTGGAATGGTTGGACCAACCGGCCAGTTGGTCCTGTGGACCGGTTGGACCAACCGGCCAGTTGGTCCTGTGGACCGGTTGGACCAACCGGCTTGTTGGTCCTGTGGACCGGTTGGACCAACCGGCCAGTTGGTCCTGTGGACCGGTTGGACCAACCGGCCAGTTGGTCGTGTGGACCGGTTGGACCAACCGGCCAGTTGGTCCTGTGGACCGGTCGGACCAACCGGTCAGTTGGTCCTGTGGACCGGTTGGACCAACCGGCCTGTTGGTCCTGTGGACCGGTTGGACCAACCGGCCTGTTGGTCGTGTGGACCGGTTGGACCAACCGGCCAGTTGGTCGTGTGGACCGGTTGGACCAACCGGCCAGTTGGTCGTGTGGACCGGTTGGACCAACCGGCCAGTTGGTCGTGTGGACCGGTTGGACCAACGGGCCTGTTGGTCCTGTGGACCGGTTGGACCAACCGGCCTGTTGGTCGTGTGGACCGGTTGGACCAACCGGCCTGTTGGTCCTGTGGACCGGTTGGACCAACTGGCCTGTTGGTCCTGTGGACCGATTGGACCAACCCGCTTGTTGGTCCTGTGGACCGGTTGGACAAACCGGCCAGTTGGTCCTGTGGACCGGTTGGACCAACCGGCCTGTTGGTGCTGTGGACCGTTTGGACCAACCGGCCTGTTGGTCATGTGGACCGGTTGGACCAACCGGCCAGTTGGTCCTGTGGACCGGTTGGACCAACCGGCCAGTTGGTCGTGTGGACCGGTTGGACCAACCGGCCAGTTGGTCCTGTGGACCGGTTGGACCAACCGGCCAGTTGGTCCTGTGGACCGGTTGGACCTACCGGCCTGTTGGTCCTGTGGACCGGTTGGACCAACCGGCCAGTTGGTCCTGTGGACCGGTTGGACCTACCGGCCTGTTGGTCCTGTGGACCGGTTGGACCAACCGGCCTGTTGGTCCTGTGGACCGGTTGGACCAACCGGCCTGTTGGTCTTGTGGACCGGTTGGACCTACCGGCCTGTTGGTCCTGTGGACCGGTTGGACCAACCGGCCAATTGGTCCTGTGGACCGGTTGGACCTACCGGCCCTGTTGGTCCTGTGGACCGGTTGGACCAACCGGCCTTTTGGTCCTGTGGACCGGTTGGAACTACCGGCCTGTTGGTCCTGTGGACCGGTTGGACCAACCGGCCTGTTGGTCCTGTGGACCGGTTGGACCTACCGGCCTGTTGGTCCTGTGGACCGGTTGGACCAACCGGCCTGTTGGTCCTGTGGACCGGTTGGACCAGCCGGCCTGTTTGGTCCTGTGGACCGGTTGGACCAACCGGCCTGTTGGTCATGTGGACCGGTTGGACCTACCGGCCTTTTGGTCCTGTGGACCGGTTGGACCAACCGGCCTGTTGGTCCTGTGGACCGGTTGGACCAGCCGGCCTGTTGGTCCTGTGGACCGGTTGGACCAACCGGCCTGTTGGTCCTGTGGACCCGGTTGGACCAGCGGCCTGTTGGTCCTGTGGACCGGTTGGACCAACCGGCCTGTTGTCCTGTGGACACGGTTGGACCAACCGGCCTGCTGCGTCCTGTGGACCGGTTGGACCAACCGGCCGTTTGGTCCTGGACCGGTTGGACCAGCCGGCCTGTGGTCCTGTGGACCGGTTGGACCAGCCGGCCCTGTGGTCCTGTGGACCGGTTGGACCAACGGCCTGTTGGTCCTGTGGACCGGTTGGACCAACCGGCCTGTTGGTCCTGCGGACCGGTTGGACCAACCGGCCAGTTCGTCTGCGGACGGTTGGACCAACCGGCCAGTTGGTCCTGGTGACCGGTGGACCAACGGCCTTTTGGTCCTGGGACCGGTTGGACCAACCGGCCAGTTGGTCCTGTGGGACCGGTGGACCAACCCGGCCAGTTGGTCCTGTGGACCGGTTGGACAACCGGCCTGTTGGTCCTGTGGACCGGTTGGACCAACACGGCCTAATGGTCCTGTGGACCAGTTTGGACCAACCGGCCTGTTGGTCGTGTGGGACCGGTTGGACCAAACCGGCCTGTTGGTCCTGTGGACCGGTTGGACCTACCGGCCTGTTGGTCCTGTGGACCCGTTGGACCAACCGGCCTGTTGGTCCTGTGGACCCGTTGGACCAACCGGCCTGTTGGTCCTGTGGACCGGTTGGACCAACCGGCCTGTTGGTCCTGTGGACCGGTTGGACCAA